GTATTTATTTAAATATTGTTAAATGCAGTGGTGGGCACCAGCCCGCTAAAGCGCAAACGAAACATTTAGGTCTGTAATTCGCGGATTTGCGCTTTAGCGGGCTGGTGCCCACCACTGCATTTAACAATATTTAAATAAATACAAAACCTGACTATGTAGAAAATAGAGAAAGTATTGGTTTGACTAACTTCAGTTAGTATTTAAGAAAAGACTATTTCAATCAAAGAAATGCTTTTATTCTGAAAGGGATAAACTGGAGGTAACACAAGTCATGAGCTACAACTGTGATTTGGATTGGCAGATTTGCAACAGATGATCCCGCCCACCTTTAAATTAAACCAGTAGAAAACAACAGGTTTGTGTCAGTCCCACCAGTTGTTTTAGCGATTAGCGTTAGCGTCCACTAATTATGCAGCTGTTTAGCATTAGCATCCACTAATTCTGCAGCTGTTTAGCATCAGCATCCATTAATTCTGCAGCTGTTTAGCATTAGCATCCACTAATTCTGCAGCTGTTTAGCATTAGCATCCACTAATTCTGCAGCTGTTTAGCATTAGCATCCACTAATTCTGCAGCTGTTTAGCGTTAGTATCCATTAATTCTGCACATCTTTAGTGTTAGCTTCCACTAATCCTTATCTATTTAGTGCTAGCTGAGCTGAAAGTCTTGTTTAATGGATTTGTTAGTGAAGCTAACTTTTTGGTCAGCTGTGCCCACCACTGTTTAAAATAAAGTCATTTTGTGTCGGCTACAGTAGRTTRACTGTGGCGGCCATATTGAATCAGGTTGACTCCAGGGATAAACTTGCTGTGTGGATTTAAAAAAACATGACACTGTGAGGACAGCTTATATAAAAAATAACCTTTAGATGCTTACGTCATTGCACTGACATGCTTTTGATTTCTTTTCTTTACAGTTTTTTGCGTAAAAAAATTGTTGGTATGAGAGAAAACTGCTCGGTCCAGATTCCTGAGCTGAAGGACCCATGTCAGATAAACATTTCCCTCCATCAGTCAGAGTCAGCGAACGCTTTGAGCTCAAACTGACTCGTTAAAATGTCAGAATCCAAACAGACCTGATTGACAGATCTGCTGCATTTTTTACTTTACAACAGAAAGTGAACTTTAGCCGACTGTCAAACTGCACAACATGAAGCAACAAAGGAAACAGATTCTCTCAGGGCGAAATATTTCTGCTAAAACAAGCTGGGAGGTATTTACTGGTTGTTAGTTTGGTCCACGCCTCAGAGACTCATGATCACAATGTTCCATCAGGTCCAAGTGCGAAACAGGCTTTTGTCCATTCTGCACCTTCTACATGGGAAACAGCCGAAAGACTGGAAGCTAACAGAGTTCAGTCACTGAGATTTAAATCAAAACTGAAAGGACTTAAGACCAACTTTACAACTTTTATAACACGTTTTTAATGATTTTCTCTTTGATGTTTTAATTTGTTTGTTTTACTGGAAAGTAGAAACTATGAGCGGCCATCTTGGTCAGGTCTTCTTGTGATTAAAATCTTTTTCAATGAGACTTCCTGGTTAAATAAATAAAAAGGTTCAGGTCTTTGATCAGGCTGGTCCAGAATCTTAATGTCAGCTGATTTATCCAATCGGAACCAGTTCTGATGTTTGGTCCAATCGGAACCAGTTCTAATGTTTGGTCCAATCGGAACCAGTTCTAATGTTTGGTCCAATCGGAACCAGTTCTAATGTTTGGTCCAATCGGAACCAGTTCTAATGTTTGGTC